CCTCCAAAATCTACTCTTCCCTTAAAATGTTTTAACACAGAATTGTATTCATGATACTCATGCTTACAGCTCTCCAACGACTTATATTTAAAATAAAAAGGAAATTCTTTATCTAGGCTTATAAGACTTTTTATGATTCAGGCCCTCCCTGACTTTTCCTTCTTTTTTTTTTTAAGGTTTTATTGTAACTTTCCCTGTTGTTTCACATTTTATTACCCTTTCTCTGCCCTTCTCCAAGCTCTCTCTGCAATGCACCCCTTGTTCCAGACTGTCATTTATTACCCTTTCTCTGCCCTTCTCCAAGCTCTCTCTGCAATGCACCCCTTGTTCCAGACTGTTGTACATATAATACCTAATCATACATTCCTTTCACCGGTTCTTCCCCTTATCTGATCTAATGCAGTATTCATTATCTATCTACTCTTTTCTCATTCTCTCCCCAACCCCCATGTCCCAAGTCTGTTCTATTTTATAACACCTTCCTAACTTTTCAACTTCTTATTTCCTTACTTACTAAGCTCCAACTACACTGGGTTTCTTTCTGTCCTCAATTTGCCAAATTTTCCTTTTTCTAAAGGCCTATATCCTGGCTATTCCCTCTACTTAGGCTTCTTTTACTCCTGATAATTATGCTATTGGCTGCTTCTTGTCATTCAAAACTCAGCTTAAATATCACCCGCTTAGCAAGGTTCTTTCTTTCTAAAATTGTCCTCCCCAAGCCCACAAAGCTAGTCATTAAATAGCTTATTACCTTAATTAGTTTCTTTATAGCACTTATAAAAGTTATGTTCTGTATTTGTTTACTTAGTTACTGTATGTCCTCTTCACATATTCTCATAATCAGATGATGAAGATGACACAGGCTAGGACAGCATTCAGATTTGTTCACAGGGTCGCTAGACTTGACAGCACCTAACAACAACTCTTCTTAGGAGAAGAAACTGTCTTTCCTGTCACTTCTACTCCCTAACGGCTACAATAGTTAACAGGTATGTAGTGAATATTTGTTGCATAAAAAGATGAAGCAGTTGAATGCTTAGGTGTACATGTATTGAAGTTGCTATAAAGTGTTCTCCAGGCTCTGTCCCATCGACATCTCAGGTACAACAGACTGAAATACTGTCTGGTCTTATGCCATCCTCACAGTCATTACTATGTTTTGAGTTCATTGTTACAGCCACAGGGATGTCTTTCTCCAGAGATTGGTCCGTCTTGGTAACATGACCACAACATGTGAGACGAAGGCTTACCATCTTTGCTCCTAAGAAGTGTCCTGGCTGTACCTCTTCCTGGATAGAGTTGCTCATTATTCTGGCAGTCCGTGTTATAATCCACTCTTTGCTAACACCATATAATTTAAAGGCTTCAAATCTTTGTTGTTGTTAGGGGTCATCAAGTGGCCTGTGACCCCTAATGATCCTATGTTTATACCACCACACCTACTCCCATAACCCCAGGTACTGTGTCAATTCATCTCATCCCAGGTCTTCCTCTCCTGCACTGTCCCTGTACTCTCCCAAGCACGATGTCTTTCTCCAAGAACTGGTCCTTCCTGGCCACATGACCAAAGTATGTGAGATGGAGCTTCAAAATCTGTGCTTACAAGGAGTAGCCTGGTTTCATCCTCTCCAAGGAAGACGTATTTTCTTGGCAGTCCATGGTATGTTCAGTTCACTTCTCCAGAACCACAACTCAAAGGCATCAGTTGTTCTTCTGTTAGGCTTAGTCACTGTTCAGCTTTGATGAATGATGCAAGTAATTGCAAAGACCATGTTCTGGATCAGGTGTGTCATAGTCTCCAGACTGACATAATTTCTCTTTAGCACTTTAGAGAAGTGCCTGACAGCAGATTTCCCTAATGCAAATAGTCTTTTGATTTCCTGATTACTGGTGCCAAGAGTGTTGACTGTGGAGCCGAACAAGCTGAAATTGTTAACTACCTTAATTTTGTCTCTATCATGGTGCTGCTAATCGGCCCAGTGATGAGAATTTTTGTCTTCTTGTTGTTGAGCTTTAATTCATATTGAAGAGTAAAGGACTTGACCTTCTGCAGGAAACAGTTCAGGTCCTCCTCAGTTCCAATTTTGTCATCTGCATCTGTGATTCTAAATCTTTAGTCTTCCTTATTAGCTACCCAGCTTTTGCATGCATATGTAATAAAAAAAGACAATGGCTTGAGTCAGATGCACCTTAGTTCTTAAAGTGACACCTTTTTAATATGTTAGAGAGTTTTCCGGGAGCTGATTTGTCCAGTTGTTTAACTGCTTGATTGTTGCTTCCATGAATGTTGACTGTAGAACCAAGTAAAATGAAATCTTTGACAATTTATTCCTGTCCCTCCCATTTGTCAGGGCTACTTATAAGCTTAATTAAAATTTTTTATGTTGAAGTGTAATCCATACTGATACAATCTTTGATCTTCAGAAGTATTTCAAGTCCTCTTTATTTTTAGCAAGTAAGGCTGTTAATGAGTCTGTCTTTAACCATGATGCTGTGTACTTCATATTCAGTTTTTCAGACATTTGCTCAGAAGACTGAATAAGTATGATGAAAGAATACAACCCTGACACATATCTTTTATAATCATAAACTAAGCAGTATCCCTTCTTGTTCTACAACTGCCTCTTAGTCTACTTTATGCTATTTGTTAGTTAGGTGCTACTGAATCAACTACAACTGACAGCAATCCCAAGAAAAACAGATGGTAACTCTGTCTGATCCTGCTCCATCTATGCAGCCTCCACCATGCTCAAACCCACTGTAGCAGTTACCATGTCAGAGATGAGTTCATATGTTTAGGTATTGGTGACAAATGCTAACAGATGCTAACAACTAATAAATATGCATTTTGTTGGAAAAAGATATTTTTAATCTTATTTGGAAATGATTCATCCAAATTAGAAAGGTCTGCTGTTGCACAATAATACACAATATAATCTTTTGACGACCTATGGTCGTCTTTCAACAGTAAGTAGCTAATTCCTTCCTCAGTAATTTTTATATAAAATTCATAAGCAAATAACAATTTTTACTTTTATCATATTAATTCGAAAGCTCAAGAGTAAAGATACACTGTTTTGTTTTTTAAAAAAAGTCTCATTTAGTGAATAGCTTTGGGCTGGTTTTTATTTGGCTGGTATTTGTTTTCTGAATTTTGATGCCACGGATCTTAAACATTTTGTCTGAATGAGTGTGCTCTCTGATTTTAAGCCCAGATGTATATGCCTCTCAATCTTGTAATTAAAAGGTTTTTTAATATATTATTGTTTTTTTTTAGCGACAAAGTAAAAAGTATATACTTTGTGATATAAAAGATTCATCTATATATCTCAAAACATTTTTTCTTTTTAAGATAATTTATTTTACTTATACAACACAATTTTTCTGAGGCTCCTGGGTTATGATTAGCTGAATAATTGAAGAATTACACAAACAGTAAGATAGCTCACAGCAATCTATTCAATAGGATTCATATATATACACACACACACATACATACATATAAACATATACACATATACACACACACACACACATATATTAGGTCCTTTATAATATGGTTCCAATTAAAAATATAATACAATGTATAACTAGGTAGAATTGGTAGCTATTAACAATTTTAGCCTAAATGAGGTTTATTCTGACAAGCTTTTTTTTTTTTTAGGAAAAACTAACCATTAGGTGAAAATGATAGCTACTGATAAATGTTTCCTTAGGCTAATATCTGAAAAGAAAGCCATCCTTTTCTCCTGTGTAACAAATGGAATTTATTAATTAGGTCTCTCAGTTTACATGCTGGCTACATTTGGCAAAGTCCAGTCCTCACCAAAAATAGTAACAACCTGCTCTGGATGGTAATCAAGCAGCACGTCTATTTTTGGCTGCAACATTTGAAATTCCAAATGCCAGTTGTCATAGAACTGAACCTTAAATGGCATTAAGTATAATGATCTGATTCAAAGAGAGAGAATACAAAGATTCTGTCCCTTGTACAAGGTTCTCTTAAATCATTGGTTTCTTTATCCTAAAAGAGCAAAATGCTTTAGTCTTATTAAGTAAGTTCCTGTTTAACCTTACCATACTGTCATGGATTTAATTGTTGGATTATGGATTTAAACCCATAGAATTGGTGTTCATTTGTCTAGGCCATGGTATTCAGTGTGTATTTTGACAATTACACAAAGCTGGGAGTCAGCAGCCCTGTGATGATGTAGTCATCCCTCCATTCTGTTACCTGAGGTAATTAGCCTCCATTTTGCAATGCCTTGTAAATCTTGACCATCACAGAATTAGATTATGTTAATAAGGTGGAAGGATGTTTGCTATATTAATGAGACAAGATTAGGGTGAGATGCAACATCCTTCCTCAGGGATAGCTCTGCTCCCATGTGAGGGGGTTGAGATGGCACAACAAACGTGGGATGCAGTCTCCACTCTTTTTTATTTTACAAGAGATTAAGGGTTGAGAAAGTAGGACAGGGACCTGACTACCATCAGGAAAGAAGAGCCAGCAGTGGAGCATGTCCTTTGGATCCAGAGATCTTGGGGTCGAGAATACCCTAAACCTAGAGGAAGACTGATGCCAAGACACAAGGAGAACTCCAAGGAGAGCCAGGCTCACAGATGTTGAAAGATGACAAAGACCTTTTCCCAGAGCTGACACAGAGAGGGAGAGAGCGAGAGAGCGTGAGCATCTTCCACTACAGCTGGTGACCTGAATTTGGACTTCCAGCTTCCTAAACTATGAGTGAATAAATTCCCACTTGTTAAAGCCATCCACTTGTGGTATTGCACAGTTACAGCAGTACAAGATTGCTATGAGGCTACCTAAATGGCCTAAAGAACCTTAGACTGGAACAACAGGGAAGGATATAAATTCCACTGCAATTTATTACATTACTCTAAGTTCCTATTTATTCAGTATTTCAAATTGTTCAGGTTTCTATTAGTTGTTTGGTTTCAGTTGGGTTTGTTTTGTGGTTTTTTTTTTAAATTCTTACCTGTCTCTGAGTGTGCTGGGACCAAGGTAAGGGTACTGATTTTCTTTGAGTTTTCCTTTGATAAGATGGTCCAGAGTCTCATGTAGGAAAGGTTGATGCTGTGTATATACATTTTCTACTCCCTAAGACAAAGGAAAATGGTTACATTATTTTAGGGCAATTCACATCAGAAAAGAACACATATTCATCATAAATTTCATGAGATAAAGTCAAACAGGGATTTTAGGAGACTGGAAAATTATTCTCATTACCCAGAAATATCCCATTCTCATAAAAAACACTCTGTAAACAGCAAACAACAAATGCTGGAGAGGTTGTGGAGAAACTGGAACACTTATTCACTGTTGGTGGGAATGTAAAATGGTCCAGCCACTATGTAAGGCTGTATGGTGTTTTCACAAAAAGTTGCAAATAGAAATACCATTTGACCCAGCAATTCCACTATTGGGGATATACCTCAAAGAAACCAGAACTGCCACCAGAGCAGATATATGCACACCCATGTTTATTGCGGCCCATGTTTATTGCAGCTTTGTTCACAATAACAAAGAGTTGGAAACAACCTAAGTGCTCATCAACAAATGAATGGCTAGAGAAGCTGTGGTATATTTACACAATGGAATACTACACAGCATTGAAAAACAAGGAACTCATGAAATAATATACAAAATGGATGACCCTGGAGGACATTATGCTGAGTGAAATACCTAGTCACAAAAAAAAAAACACTGCATAGTGCCACTGTTGTAAAACATGACTGACATAGGGGTAGGGGGAGACTGAGAAAGATAGGATAAATAATGTATACTGCATTGAAACAGATGAGAGAGAGAGAGAACTGTTTAAAATGTATTAGGCATTATTATCATGACATGAGTCCAGAAAGAAGGCTGCATAGTGGAGTGAAAGTAGGGGGAGGGATTGTTTAACAATGAAGGAATTTTTCTTTTACTTTTCAAAGAGAAGAACGAACTGGAGGGGAGGGGTGGGAAAGGAGAAAAGCACAACAATGAATGACTGGAAATCCAAAATCTCTGTAAATTTCATTAAAATTAAGAGTAATAATAGTAATAAAAAGAAACAAAACAAAACAAAAACACTCTGCAATTACTATAAGGGAATTAAAAAAAAAGGGGGTGAGTTGTCCAAATCTATAATCTCTTCACTACCTGTCACCCTTTTTTTTTACATATTAAAAGAGCAGTACCACACATAAAGAATCATGTAGAAAACCAGACTTGGAACATTCAGCAAAATTTTTAAAACCCCTAAATTCAGGAAACAAGAAAAAAGAAAACAAGGAAAGCTAACATATTAAAACTAACATTTGACAAATTTAAGAAAAGATAGTACTTTTTAAATACCTTAGTTATTTGCTTCATCCTAAATTTCCTCCAAAGATAAATTGCCTAGCAAATTTTAAATTATAAACAAATGAAATTAAATAGCTGTGACTAATAGAATTGTGTATGTTTTTACTCTTGGGTAGTTCCTGGAAATCTCCAGTTATTTCCTGTCCAGCTATTTGGTCAGATATTGTTACTACTCCAATATAGAAAGTACTATTAATGAAGAACTTTCCAGAGGATGTCTGCTTTAATTTAATTGATCTAGTAATCAGAAACAGTCCTGAAGTTCCTCGGAAGATCATGCTCATTCACTCACAGCCTCATTGGCTTTTCAGCTAGGAAAATACAGAGGTATACCTTCAATCCTTTGAGGAACTGTTTGGTGATAGCCACAGCATCTTTGGGGCTGAAGAGATCACTTCCTCTGACCCGTTTACCACCATATTCCACAACTGCAGACACGAGCTATAAAAATAAGAGAAGCAACCTTTCATTGCTTGGGGAATCAGGAAGCTCATTTCATAAGCAATGATTTCTGTATTTCTGTGAATAAAAAGAATATGATTAGTCATATGTCGAAGCTAAGAATTTAACTCAGTTGGTACCTGTTAACTGAGGTGGTACCTGTTTGGTGGGCTTATTTTGTAAGTTTAGTTACCTTTCGATACTTCTCAGAAACACCTTTATTCCTGAGGTCCATCATTAGCCCTGGCACACTGTTGCTGCTGTGTCGCTCGTAATGTAGAGCATAAAGCATCACCAGGCGCACAGCATCAAATTCCGTCACTTTGGGGTTCTGGAGGAGCCGCTTTACATTCTGGAAAAAACCCAGAGAACTGATTTTTAGCTCCTTGTTTCAGTAATCTGTTGTACCATGTTTGAGATTTAGTAATTACTGAATGTTTTTGTTGAATGCCGTTGAGTCGAGCACAACTCATAGTGACCCTATGAACAAAAGACCTGAAGCCTTTCTATAAACCATTGTCATTTCTCAAAGTTCAGAGAGTTTCCAGAGGTATGTGGTTTAGGAATTGGATGTCACTCCTGCTCAGTTCATGCTTGATATGATAATTAGGGATATATACAAGTAAAAAATTTAGCAACTGCCTCAAATACTAGAGAAAAGAAGAAATAAGTCCTAATTATAATTGTTGTAAAACAAGTATGACTTTAACTATGGATAGTTTATCTTTTCTTTTCAACAGCCTGAGTTGTAACTGAGGTGTTTTGGCGGCATAGTGGATCACACACTGTGCTGCTAATCAAGAGGTCAATGAGGGGGAAGGGGGGGTTGACCACTAGCTGTTCTACAGTACAAAGACTGACACTCTTCCAGTAAAGATTTATAGCCTCAAAAACCTAATAGATTACCCCAGTCACCGAATCAATCCATCTCATAGAGGGTCTTCCCCTCCTGCGCTGTCCCTCCACCCTCCCAAGCATGATGTCCCTCTCCAAGGACCCGTCCCTCCCGGCAACATGTCCAAAGTATGTCAGACGAAGCCCCAGAATCCTTGCCTCCAAGGAGTAGCTTGGTTTAATCCTCTCCAAGATGAATCTGTTTGTTTTCCTGGCAGTCCATGGTACATTCAGTACTCTTCTCCAGCACCACAGCTCAAAGGCATCAACTCTCCTTCCGTCCTCCCTAGTCACTGTCCAACTCTCTGATGCACAACAAGCGATTGCAAAGACCATGGCCTGTATCAGGCGCACCTTAGTCTCCAGAGAGACACCGTTGCTTCTGAGTACTTTAGAGAGGTCCCTAACAGAAGACTTTCCCATCGCGATACGCTTTTTTATTTCCTGACTGCTGGTGCCAAGAGTGTTGACTGTGGAGCCGAGCAAACTGAAGCTGTGAACAATCTCAATCTCTTCGCCATCCATCCTGACGCTCAATAGGTCCAGTGGTGAGAATCTTTGTCTTCTTGACATTGAGCCTCAATCCATACTGAAGGCTGCAGTCCTTGACCCTCCGCAGCAAGTGCATGAGGTCCTCCTCAGTTTCAGTTCACTTAATAAAACTACTACTTATTCTTGATATTAATGACTTGTCAGTAAAATGGAGACAAGGTGATAAATTTTTACATAGGAGGGCACAGCTTAATCTGTAAGAATCTTCAGAAATAACTTCGTCTCAACATAATAGAAACATCAAAGTAGGTTGTTATGTGCCGTTGAGTCGCCTGCAACTCTATATACAACAGCCCTAAAACCTGCTCTATCCCTCGCCAATCTTATTGTCTCTGACACACCTACCACCATTACCCCAGTGACTGAATCAACCCATCTCATCGAGGGTCTTCTTCTCCTGTGCTGTCATTCCAACCATGATGTCCCTTCTCCAAGGACTGATCCCACCTTGCAACATGCTCAAAGTATGTCAGACGATGAAGCTTCTGAATCCTTGCCTCCAAGGAGCATCCTGGCTTCACCCTTTCCAGGATGAACTTGTTTGTTCTCGCAGCAGTATATGATATATTTAATACTCTTCTCAGCACCACAGCTCAAAGGCCTCAACTCTCTTTCTATCATCCCTAGTCATTGTCCAGCTGTCTGATGCATAGCAAGTAATTGTAAAGACTATGGCTTCTATCAGGTATGCCTTAGTCTCCAGACCGACATCTCTATACTTCAGTACTTTGGAAAGGTCTCTGACAGCAGACTTTCCCAATGCAATTCGGTGGCTTAATGGCAAGAATCTGTGCTGCAAACCTGAAACATGCAGTTTGAATCCACTAGCTACTCTGCAGAAGAAAGATGGGCATTTTTCTCCTTTGCAGTTACTGCCTCTGAAAGCCCACTGGAGGCTCAGCTATGGGTCAGTTCCAACCCGACATACAACAAACAGCAACAGTCTCTAAATTAACAAGAGCAAGAGCCAATGGTAATGAAGGGAAAAGTTCAAGCTGCACTGAAGGCACTGGTAAAAAAATAAGGCCCCAGTTATTAATGGGATATCAACTGACATGTTTGAACTAACAGATGCAGCCCTGGATATGCTCACCAGTTTGTGCCTGGAAATTTGGAGGACAGCTGCCTGGTCAATGATTATAAGAGGCCCATATCTCAAGAAAGGGGAATCAACAGGACGTGAAATTATCCAACAATATCATTAATACATGCAAACAAAATATTGGTGAAGACCATCCAAAATTGGTTAGAACTGAGAGAAAACTTAATGATATCAGATGGATCTTGACTGAAAGCAGAAAAGACCAGAAGAAGGTCTGTATTTTACAGACAATGCAAAGGCATTTGAATTGCTGTGAATCACAACAAATTGTGGCTAACATTGAGAAGAATGGAAATCCCAAAACAATTACACTCATACAAAACTATACCTAGAACAAAAACCTGTTGGATGAACAAAGCAAGAGAATACTACATAGTTTAAAATGTACTGGCGGTGGAGGGAGGATTGTATACCAATGAAAGAATTTTTCTTTTACTTTTCAAAGAGAAGAGTGAACTAGGGGAGTGGGGTGGGCAAGAAGAAAGAGGCAACAATGAATTAATGGAAATACAAAATCTTTGTACATTAAAATTAATAAAATAAAATTTAAGAGAAAGTGCAGCCAGAGTACTCCTTGGAGCAAATTTTGTCTCACATACTATGGACTTGTTAGTAGAAGGGGTTATTCCTTGGAAAGGTCTATCGTGCTTGGAAGGGTGAAGGGTCAGCGAAAGAGGGGAAGAACAAGACGTATTGTTACAACGACTGAAGCAATCAATAGGCTCAAATGGGCCAGAGATGATGAAGAGATGGCACAAGATAGGACAGGGTGCAGATCTACTTACTGTTCAGAGGGTCACTATGACTCTTACTCAACTCACCTAAAAGCAACAACAATACCTAACACTTAGCCCTTAACAGCAACAACAACAGACATTTCTAAACAAAATATTTAAGATCTTAAGGCAGGTACTGACAACAAGGGGAGACAGAAGAAACATCTCCTTTTTTTAAATTTTTATATTTAAGATTTTCTATATATTAAAGATTTGTATTTGTTATGCAGCAGAACACATAATCTGATGCAAGCCAACAAATACCTTTGAGACTCTTCTAAGTGTAAGTTACCATGTCAGGAACTTCAGGGATTGTAGAGATGAGTCAGACACAGTTCCTGTCTTCAACGTGCTCACTGGCAATGGTAGAGGATGGAGAAGAAACTAGGATAGTTATCCTTCAACAAAGCATGTTCCTTTAATGCACTATTCACGAGCATTTTCTCTGCTCCCATAAAGATAACAGCCTAGAAAATCCTATGCACAGTTCTACCTGGTCATTTAAGTTCTGTAGGCAACAACAAGAAGAAGAAGCTATGTGGGGAAGGGGCAAGTACAAATTCATCTGCAGTAAAAAGTACAACAAAACAACAAATTAATTGATGAAGAAGGTCCTCTACATTTTATATTTTTCATTTTGAGGAAACTACACTCTACAAGAAGCAAATAATTCTACAGACCTTACCTGGAAGAAAAGGAACCAGGTTGCAAAGGACTGATCTGGTCTTATTTCTAGGTACAAAAGTCAATGGGTACAGAACTGCTAATTAAGGCTCTGATTACAAAGTCATTTGGACTTTAAAGCAGTATGCTTAAAACCCTATTTTCTCTGTAATCATTATTTTTAGTGTATGATTTTGCAGAATATGAGGTTTTTCAGGAACACATATGTGGTGTTATAACAGAAACATACGCACGCATAAAACAAGACAAAATAACAAAAAGCTGAAATTCAGTGCAATGGAGGGGGTGAAAAGAGAAGAGAAAATACATCTGGTTGCTAAAAAAAATCAGGAAACAGTGCATAGAGGTTGTAACAGTTGCAAAAGACCCTAAAAAATCAAGAAGAGTTGGAATTAATCTGAGAGACAGGAAGATGATGCTATTAATGTTTTTTTTAGGTGACACTGAATAGAGAAGGACTCGCAGTGACCTTATGAACAACAGATCTAAACCCTGGCCTATCCAGTGCCATTCTCCACATATCCGACATACTTGAGAGCCCACAGCTGCAGTCAGTGTGTCAATCCTTCTTGTGCGGGTCTTCCTCTCCTTTCTGAACCCTCTACCTTTCCAACTATGATGTTCCTTTCTAAGGAATAGCCTCTCCCAACAACATGCTCGAAGTATGTGAGCTGAAGCTTCACCATCCTTGCCTCCAACAAACACTCTGGTTGCAGTTTTTCTAAGACATATCTGTTCTTTTGGCAGTCCCTGTGATGTTCAGTACTCTTCTCTAAAACCACAATTCAAAGGGATAAATTCTTCTACCACCCTTATTCACTATACAGCTTTCAGCTGCATCGCAAGTGATTTAAAAGACCATGGCATGAATCAAGCATACCTTAGTTTTTTACACTGACATCATTGCTCCTTATACTCCTGATATTATTAATAGGAATATGGAAACCATAGGAAGAAATGGCTTGGAGTGAAAGACACTTTGAAGGTACTGGATTCTGGGGACACAATAACATCTGCATGATATTTTGTAATTTATGTCTTCATGTACCTTATCTGAATATCCCATGGTTTGCCAAAAGAACAAACACATACGTCTTAGAGAACAAATAGGCTGCTCTTTAGAGACAAGGATGATGAAGCTTCATTTCATATACTTTGGGCATGTTGTTATGAACAGCCAGGCCTTGGAAAAAGATATTATGCTTGGAAAGGCAGAAAGTAAGAGAAAGAGAGGAAGACCCTCCACAAGATGGACTGACACAGTGACTATAACAATGGGTTCAAGTATATCAGAGATGATGAAGATGGCACAGGACAGCACAAGGTTCAGATCTACTGTTTATA